TCCTGTGACTAAGACAGAGAGGGTGCTTTTGCACTGGGTTGGTCAGGAAGCTTCTGCATAGTTGATAAAAGCATCCTGATTTTGACAGTGCTGACCGCTCAAACGCATTTCCTTCCCCTGCACTCTGTCGCCGAAACAGGATGACCCCACGCTCGAGGTTCCTGTGACTAAGACAGAGAGGGTGCTTTTGCACTGGGTTGGTCAGGAAGCTTCTGCATAGTTGATCAAAACATCCTGATTTTGACAGTGCTCATTTTGATCTTCGGAGTTTAAATATCTTTTCTGATCAATTGAACCTCCGATGCCATCACATGCTGACCTCGTTTGCAGCCTCAGTCCCAATCCGCTTTTCGAAGCTTTTCGGCGTCACTGCTGTTAGTAGAAAGACGTTACTAGTAGGAATGGCCTCCAACCTAGTAGCGATGACCTCAACCCAGTAGGAATGGCCTCCAACCTAATAGTGATGGCCTCTAACCTGGTAGCTTCTTATTACTAGTAGGAATGGCCTCGAACCCAATACCGATGGCCTCCACCTAGTAGCTTCTTGTTACTAGTAGTAATGCCAGGAGCTAGTAGGTTGTTTTCTATGGTTTCTTCGCACTTCTGTCTGGTACACACCAAGACATCCCAACGGTGGTGGCGCGTTCAAACATTTTCAATCAAAAAAGATATGACAACTGTGTGCAACACATACAATGTCCAGTATAATTTCGTCACGTAAAGACACTTTTTGTAAAAGCCGACGTTAGCCTCACTTCCTTTCTGAATTGCACAAGTTACTGCAAAACATAGTGACGCCTTCCCCAAACAGAGAACTGTCATGTCCCACCCTTTGGGATTGATCAAGAGAGAACGGTTGTAGTCGTCCCATGTTACTTCGTCTGGTCTTCACTTGCCGAGTGGCCTTGAAGCTTTCAGCTTCCCTTCTGGAGCGGACCGCCACCAGCTGCGCTGAGCAACCGGTGGAACAGGGTGTTCCCAGAATGGGAAAAAAACATATACTTCGCAACGGAGCAGTCAGTCTGATTCAGTCTGAACATAATAGCAATGGCCTCCAATCTACAAGTAATAGCGATGGCCTCCAACCTAATTAGAAATGGCCTCCCATTTTGCATCGACTTTCTTGTCATTCTTGTCTTTGTCACTCTGAATCTAATCCCATTTATCACTGTGAGTGTGATTGGAGCTGCACATTCTCCTAGCCACTCTTCTCTGCGGACCGCTACATTTTGGCCGCATGCGGCGGCCAAGTACAGTATCCTTTACTTCTTATCATGTTAACAAATGTTCGCTACTAGGAACAAGCATCGCTACTAGGAACAAGTGCCTTACTACTAGTAACAAGAAGCTATTAGATACAATAAGCTTCTAGTAACAGGTGCATCGCTAGTAGTAACAGGTGCCTTACTAGTAGTAACAATGTTTGTTATTAGAAACAATAAGCTGGGTCTTTGGATCTTGCTTTCGATTCACATGTGGGAGGATCCATTGAGTCCATTGAGACACTTTTTTAGGATGGAAAGGAGGACAGGTCAGGTGGCTTCTGCTGGTCATTTTTCTAGCGTTTTGCCCTGGGTTGGAAAGACTTCGGCATGTTTTACAATTTTATCTGTTCTGAAAACCCCATGTCAAGAAAAATGTTAAGAAATCTGGTTTGGTCCAAACTGGAGGAAAAAGACCTTCCCCCATTCTCCTCTGTCAATCAGGTCATCAAGCTTATGCAATGTCTGCCACTGTTTGGGTGGTGTCCCGTGTGTTCGGTCCACTCGGACACCTCCCATCCATGCTGTCCGTCAGCACCTGTTGTCAAAAACAAGGCTTTACACCTCACATATCGTGGGCTTTACAATGGCTTTTGCACCTCTTCGAAGTCAAAGACATCGTGGGAGTAGCAAAGATTGGAGCCTTGGGAACCCATGGAATTTCTCAAGACGTATTGCACATGGACCGGGATGAAGGTTCAAGTGTCCAGTTGCGGTTCTGTGTGCTGCTACTAGTCTGATTCATTAGGATCATTAGGCTGGTAGCCAGCCATTCAAGCCACCGCAATCCCTGCAAAAGTCTCTATATTCCTGGAACACAGCGCTTGGTTGAAACTTGGCCCAATATGCGGCTGTTTACCACTTAAGAGACTAGCAATGAAAATTGCACAGCACACCCCAGGTCACTAGCCGCGGTGCCTCGTCTTGATTTGTGCGGGTCTATCTCGGAATCGATCTGTTGCGCCTGGGACCTACTCTGTTAGCAGGTCACACTGACAACAATCAATCTGGGTGCCCCTGACCCACCATAACGACCTCAGCTCAACCAGTGCGGACCGGCACATGGTGGGGTGCGGCAGTGGTCTGGCAGATGTTGAAGACACAGATTGTGTGTATATATATATATATATTTAAGCTCAATAGGGAGACCCCCAACCAATGAGTTTTGCTCTATTTCCTCAGAGGGTTAAACTGGGAGGCCAATATAGACCCATGTAGAGTGCAACACAAGGGGACCAAGAATCCACACTTGCTTGTCAATCTCTGTCATTATGCGGTGAGGATGGCTTCTTATGCTTGGTGCACATGTGACGCTCTCTAACAATGACAAAAGCTGCAACCAGTATCACATATTATGTGTATTCTCTTGTTGAGTACTCTTGCTGCTTTGGATGCTTCCTATTGGAGTACAAGTATTGTACAGCAATGCTCAATCCACTGTGCCAAGTTCATCGAGATGAAACTTGGCTTTGTGCCGAAACATCTGGGAACAAAGTTCTCGTCTGGAGCGAACATCTGACTCCAATGAAGCAGGTTCAGAATGAACCTGGGGAACCCCAACCATAGTGTCTCCAATGGATCTCCATCTAATCTGCCTTTCCTCACAAGAGGAGTTGGCTCCTCTCTGTCCAAGATCGCCCATGTCCGTTTCAACACGAGCCCCTCTCTGCAGGCACCAACTCGTGGATGTCTGCCTTGTGCCTGACCAGGGAGGGTGAAGCGCAGATCAAAGTCTGCGGGCTGACCGTGGGGGTGTCTGACTTTCACACTGCGCTACAGCCAAGGCATCAGGAGGAACGAAGCCAAGCTGAACATGGTGCAAAACTGCATGCCTTCAGTGGTGACCTGAAGTCATCAAATCGGCTGTGTGGGTACAGCCATCCATTTGCGAACCTTGGCCTTCCAAATACAACGGCATCATCCATTGCGGGATCCTAGAAGAGTCTAGGGATGTCTAGGGTGCGGATGCCTGTCGCCGTGTCTGATCTCTCAATGAATCACCTTATTTGCATTGCAGTGCAAGTCGACCCTGGAACATCTCCACCATTGCACGGCAAAGAATGTACTCACAGTGCTCACAACAAGAGTAGACTTTTTAATGCCAAACTCGAACGTTTGCCACAAGCCGCAGCTGCAAAGCCACCAACTGGATCAGCCTCCTGTGCCAGCAGGTGAGGCACCAGCAACTGGACCTCAGCGTAGCTGTGTCTGTGTAGTTCCACTCGCTCAACCCAAAGCGCGAGCATGTGCGACTCCGTCTCCCGATCAGACACAAAGGGGTTCTTGTCATCCACATTTGACTTTAAGCAGCAGGGGGCCAGGACTCCCTGGTGCGGGTCCGGGCCAACGAAGACAGCCCATCTTGATGATATTTAATGGGTAAATACTGGTGAAACTCCCCTGAGACTAAACCATTTAGACGAGTTTCTTTTGGTCTATCTATGTTCATCCTCAGAACAAAACACCACGTCCACGTTTCCAGTAACAAGCATGACAAGTGAGCCCTTCACATGTCTTGTTCTTGATCTTTTTCCCGTGCGGCCAATTAGATCTGAGGACTCCTGCCTCTGGTCACACTACTCCACGAATGATTCCCGACGGAGGGTTTCACGAAGATGGGTGATTTGAGGGTCGGGCGGGTACGGGCTCGCAAGTTTGAAGGGCCAGAAGGGCCCATTGGAAACATCGGGAGTTTGGTATCTATCTAGTTTGGTATCTATCTATCAAGCAATCAATCAATCAATCACAAATATAAATATAAAACCAGATCAAACCGCACATGCCAGCAAAACACTGAGGTTTGAAATTATTCTGGACTGAGAGACTCTCCATGTATTCTACTACAGTATGGCTTCTGGTTTTGGGACCAGTATCAGGTCTTGACACCCAATTCATGGTAGGTCTTAGGATCTCCCTGCACCATGACCTGGTGCAACACACTCACGTGGAGGTGGACAAACTCTTTTTGTAGAGAAACATAGAATTTGTCTAGCTAGGGGAAGGGTAAGAGTTGAAATTCATTCTTTGACACAGCATGTCACAGCCAACAAGCTTTGGAATTTGGTCCATGAATTCCATGTGTTAAATCCATGTACTGTAAATCCATCTTCCAACCGAGAAAACCATCCCGGCCGCCGAAGACCACCCAGGCTGCGCCCTGAACCACCACGACGGAGCCCGCTCGACTGGTTCCGTGGCAAAGAGAAAGGAAAAATGAAGAGCTCCGCTTGGATTGGCGGAACGTCTCAGGTGTCAGCTGCCTTCTGAAGTGAACGAATGAGAATCTGTCCAAATTACTGATCAGGACTTCATAAGAATGGCAAAGTACAAACAAGCTTTCATAAGAGTCCAACTATTTGCAGAACCGGAATCATTCGCTCAGGATCCTTTGACCAATATGTTCCGCCCTTTTGAGTTCGGAAGGGAGGTGGAATCTGGATTTGCGTGAAGAGGTCGATGCTTGGGCGCGGTTTCCTATTGGCATTCCGACAATCTGAACTCGCACTTGGTACAGGTCGGATTTCGGAGGCACAATGGTCTTTTGCTGATAGAATCTGGTTCCAAAATCAATCGCAACAAAGTTTTAGCCAAACAAAGGAAAGCCATTGCTATTCGGTTGGAGGCCGTCGCTGGTTGGAGACCATCGCTATTAGGTAGGGGGCAGAGCGGCCGCTGAAATCCATTGAAGTCCGCTCGCTGGACCCGCATGGATCCCGCTTCTAATTCAAGGGTGATTGAGTGGCTCAAAACCCTCTTTCTTTCACTGTCTTGACACTTGTGTCTTTGTGATCTTAATACCCGGCTGATAGTCAAGGAGTGGTGGCTAGTAAGGAAGGATGGAACTCACGAATTGTGGGTCGGTAGAGAAAGACCATCTTCTACGCCCACCTGTATTATATAATTACTGTGGAGGGACAGTGCCTCTTTAGCGACTTCAGAGGGCGGCTTGATTTCTCTGCTGCTGCGTGCACTTTTACCGCAGCGGCCTTCCATGGGGCAAGCTCCGGCTTGGGAGGACCTCCAGGCCTGGTGAAATCTTTGGTAGTAAGTAACTTACAGTAAGTAGTTAGTAGGTTAAGAACAAGGACAGGGTTCTTTCTTTGGACCTTCTTTTGTTTCTTCCTCCAAAAGCAGTTGGTTCAATAGCACCCCATCTTCTCAGTCAAACAGAGCCTGGTTGCCACAGGCGATCAAACTCCAACAAGCCCAAGCAAAAAGCGGCAGAAGGCCACAAACCCATGGAAAGCGCAGGTAGAGTAGGCTGAGAACAGCCAGCGAAAAAGCAGAATTCGCACGTTAATATATGCCAGTGTTGTGTATCTAGCACACTGGCCGAATCTGAACAACTACATAATCAATTAAACTCACACACTCTAGGAATGCCACTGTTGAGACCCTGAGTTGGGACGGCCTGTGTACCTCAAAAGCTTCTTCCTTTGGCGGTGAAGCTGCACCAGCTATCCTGCGTCCGACCTAGGAGCTTACCTCCTTACTTGATTAAAATAACTAAGTAACTAGGCGCCTACTGTAATTATTTGGTTAAGTAAGAGCGGGCTTTAAAGAAACATTTCAATCCTTAAAAAGGATACAAAAAGGGCCTCGGACCCTGGAACCCGAGGGTATGGCATGTCTGAGCAGAAACCAAGCCCTCGCGCTGATGAGAGCACGGGCCTTCCCCAACCATGGGAGCCCTGCCTAAACTGAGAGAAGCATGCACTTGTTTCTACTAGCTTCTTGTTACTAGTAATATTGACCATGCAATACGTTCAGCATTGGAACCTGTAGTGATCTTTCGACACGATAAGAGGTGTATTCGGTATGCAGAAGTATGTCGAGAGACTTTCGACTTCTACTTCTGCTCGGCCCATAAGTAGGGAGGAAAGTGTGTCACCATCTATGTAGATCATTCAAATCACCTATACATGAAGAATCCTTGCTTCCGACATCTTCCGACCAAAACATTTCAATGTTGGACCCTCAGAAGGCTTCGACTTCATCCTCGCATCGATCACCCAATACATGAAACCGACCGACCGACCAAGCGACCGAAACACAAACATGAAAACCCCTCACGATCCATGAAGACGTGTCAAAATCAAAACGTTCGAAGAAATCACACCTGGCCAACCCCTTCTGTCCGCCAATGGCGCATGTCGCGCGGTCTGGCGAAGTCCCAAAAGTTGGCATTCCAAGTGGTCGCGAGAGGAAATGCATGGCCTTTCTCTTATCCTCGATCGTTTGGATGGTTGATGTGGATGGGGCTTTAGATGTGATAGCAAAAGGGCCACAAAGCATCCACGAAACTGGCCGGAAAACCACAGGTAATTCAGACCTGGCACTTTCATAGCCTTCTGGCGAAAGAATGAGGTCTTTTGCGGAATCACAAGTAGCAAGAGTTTGGTACATCACATAGCATACCTTTGATGTGCAGTTTTGATTCATTTTAGCTAAAACCACCGACCATCAAATCCTCACGCAGCGATGTAAAGTCATGTGCTGGCGAATGATGGCGAAGGCTCCGCCAGAGGCTCCGCCAGCCTCTGCACTCATCCCTTCTGGCCCTGGAACCAATCCATGGACAAACCTAGCGTTTCACAATGAACCCCAGGATAGGAGGATTGTCTGCCGAACAAATCACCAAAGCAGAACACCCAATGAACCATATTTTTGAACACTTATCTATGCAAACGTGATCACGCTCTTTGGAAGGACCCCAAAAAATCAGTTGACTAATGCCAAAGAATGGGGACACTGTGGGCCCGAGTGGATTCTGCTCCCTTTTTGGTGCTTGGGACGGACTCCAGGGCCACAAAGGGGACAGGATCCAAAGAAGTCGAGCACGTGTGCCCGTCTCAACTGCACCAACCTCGTGCTTGAGCATTGACTGAGCCAGGTTTGTTCTCCAACTCCCAAGATCGGCCAGTCTTCACCTTATGTAACTATCCTCAAGTTCACATGGTTTCTGTCGACATACTATGATCAGCACATATCAGCACACTGTTTAAGCTTGAACACACGGCACACCAAATCCCGACTTGACAAGGAGACAATTCTCTGACAGCCGAGGCCTTTTGCGGAGTGCCGAGCTTGGAGTAATGAGCTAAAGGCTTGCACAGATTGTTCAAGAACGCATAACCCCGCCAATACCCCTGAGTAGTAACAATGTTCGCTACTAGGAACAAGTGCATCGCTTCTAGTAACAAGTGCCTTACTAGTAGTAAGAAGAAGCTATTAGTAGCTTAGAATCAACTGGTTAGTACTCGATTTAAATACATCAGTCCTTCGATGTTTTGCCAATCCCTTGAAGCACACTAGAAAGCATCCATGCCTTGCATGGCATGGAGTGTTCAGAAGCGCTCCGCTCGCTAATCAACAATCTACTTCGAGTTGCCAGAAGATTGGCTGAACAGTGTTCACTAACAACTGCCATTTTGTTGCCTCGAATTCTGCAACACATCTGTGGGACACCATCTTGCTCAAGCTTGACTTGACTTGACAATACTCAACCTATCGATCAGTGAGTAAAGACAGACAAGTCCAATCTCAATTAGACAACATTTCGTTTAGTACACCTTAGAATTCTCGTGGTGAAAGCACCTGCATTAAACTTTATCAGTGACTCTCCACAAGGTTCAGTCAAAATAGTGAGGGAACACGTGCTTTCTGGAATCAACATGGGTGATTTGTAAGTCTAAGCTTCATCTGTTAATTTTGGCTTCAAGAATTCCAAAGCGCCGAAAGATTCCCATTTCGAAGGCACATCCACAAACAGCCCACAAAGCAGAGGATAGCAGAATGAGGAATTAAAAATACTATGTACTGCTCAACTGGGGTTGGCCCTCCAAAAATGACTGCTGCTCTGAGAAACTGTCTGCCCATAAAGAGACCCAAAGACATTTCCCCAAAAACACGCCTTTCTCAGCAGCATTTTTGAGGGCGTCTGGGCCCCCAGGAGCCACACAAGAAGAAAGGCAACGGTGTACGCGGACATCGTCCAGGGGCTTCATACATCCCCCAGAGCTGACCCTCCCGACTAGACCTCCAAACAGAACTCATTATATCGATCATGGATCCAAAAGCTGCCTAGATTCCGGACTGAATCTGTTCATTCAGGTCTTTTCTGAAGTGGTGTCTTTTTCAGTAGGGGCTCCACTATCAGAACCCACAAAGGGGATATCTACTGACTTTAACT